CCAAACCAAGTACATGTAGCATGCTGGTCAGGATTGCTTTTGATTCAAGGCTGGTGCCAATGCTGGTAGGTTCGAGCCTCTGTCCTTGAAGCATTACATACCTTTTTTGATTCAGTATAATTTGACTTTCAGTTTCTATGTTAAAAGTAACATTTCTATTTTCTTTTTGGAGGAAGAATGGGACAGCTCGTAACAACAGGGCGACTGCTCCGTTCAATTTGCAGAAGTTCGGGTTCGGACCACAGGTCATAGGCCCATTTGCGGTACTGGGATGGATCGGCCCAAGCTAAACTGGGCCTGAAAATCAAATACGCCACAGCATCGATACCTACCCACCGGTCTGAAGTCTGAACCTGATGCTTTCTCAAAAAAAAAAAAAAACAAAGAGTCTGAACCTGATGCGACAGAACAGTAAAAAGTACTAGTAAAACTTGAGTTTATCTTTGAACCGGTTGAGATTATACTGCTTTATCTACACATTACGGAATGCATCTTAAATCAAAACGAGAACGCGCGGATATATAACTCTTCACACCTTCCATTTTGTAATAGAAGTTAGCTAAGCAAAAATAAAGCAAAACTGCGTTTGCCGGGAGTCGAACCCGGGTCTATTGCTTGGAAGGCAATTATCCTAACCGTTGGACTACAAACGCTGTGTTGAGTAACAGTGGTCAGTGACATTACTCAAAGGTGAAGAAGTTTCAGTACTACGCCAGACAAAGCCCTAGCAACTTGGTATAGTGGACACCGATTGGTGGTTGTCAAAGCGTCTCGCATGCGACGATTAGTAGTATCCAGGAGATAACAAGGGGATCGGTTCTGTTCTAAAGGCCTCTCTGTAGAGCTTCCAGCAGCTCCAACTCTCACTGGCAGTTTTACTGTAGCGCTACTATTCATTGATGCTGAATTTCTCTCTTCCCCCTCCCTCTCACCGAGCTAATATGAGCCAGTGAAGCTAAATATTTTGGCTCCAACAGCTCCTTTTGTGTCAGGGAGAGAGAGAGAGAAACAGATTTCCAGTCTGTTCGTTTTGGCTGAAACGATCGTGGATTATAAATCAGAAGTACTGCTGGCTGGTTTGGTGTGAGAGAAAAATACCGTTCCAGCTTATAATCTACGATCGTATACGATCGTATAAGCAGAAACGAACACGTTGTTCATCTATAAAAGTTGTGTCAGCATGAGCCGGATCTCATGGATCCGAGAATACAGATATGCTGCGGAATATGCCAATTTGGGTCTCAGTCCGTCAGTCGTCTGTGCCCCTGTATACGTTGAGTTACCCAAGCATTTCATGGAGGCGAGTCCATTCTAATGCTTCCACACATGACGTACGACGCATAAAAACGAGGGGTCAGAGGTTGTAGCGTAGCGGCAGGAGACGCAAGAGAGAGAATTATTTTTTTTCTACCCCCGACCGGGGCCTGCGGGCAGGCGCGTATATGCGAGACGCTGGAAGCACGGAGAGGCCGCGGACGCGGCCAAGCCCCGCTTTTGAGGGGAGGCGTCGGCACATGGCTGCCCTGCCGCGGCGGCGACGCAGTCCGAGCGAGATCGCGTGAGCCGCGAGGAAGTGGCCCGTGGGGGCCTGGAGGCCTTTCACGAGGGCACTGTAGTGCGCGCGCTGGGCGCTGGCTGCTGGCTGCTATAGATGTGCAACGGGCCGGGCCTCGGGTCGTGCCGACAAGGCACGACGTGCCCTGCGGGCCGTGCCTGGCCGATGGCCCAGGCACGGCCTGCTGGCCGTTTTTCGTGCCGGCCGGCCTGAGAAACACGGCTAATCCAGCGTGCTGGACCGGCTACTACACCGACAGAGAGAGAGAGGGGGAGGCCAGGGCGCCAGGCTGGCCGGCGTGCGTGACTCGCCACCCGTTCCGAATGGGACGTGTACTGTGCGCGCTCGTACCGGGCGTCCCGGGCCTGCTCGACCTCGACCTCGATCGTAGGCGTAGCCCTGCTCCATCATTCCCCAATGGTCCCCTTGTTTATCATGCAATCGAGGGCCACAACGGATCCAGCCATCCAGGGAATCCGCACGGACTTATGTGCAGAGCCAGAGCTGTGGTCATCGAAGTTACCTACCGTGGCGGCGGTGCATGGGCGTATGATGTGGTCTGCTCAATGCTCACGCGGTCACGCCATCGCAGTGGCACAGAGGATCAACAACATTCCTTCCTTGCCCATCCAACAACCAGCGTGACAAGAAAAGCGTCGACCTAGGTAGCTAGCCACCATTCCATGCTGCATTCCACTGCCCCGGGCACTCCTTCCATACTATACACTCTCGTGCAGCTAGCGAGTTCCCCTTCCAAGAAATGGCCGCGGCGGAAGCAGCCTCCTCCGCGCCAGCTCCTGAGCGTCGTCTCCTGGAGGTGGAGGAGGACGAGGTGGTGATCGACTTCAAGCCCAACGCCAAGTGCCGCGCCGACCTCCGCCTCCGCTCCCTGCACCCGTCCCTCCCCGTCGCCTTCAAGGTCCAGACCTCCTCCCCGCTCAAGTTCCTCGTCAGCCCGCCGCGCGGCGCCGTGCCGCCGCTCTCCTCGGCGTCCCTCCGCGTCGTGCTCCGCCCCCAGCCGCACGCGCCGCCGTCCTTCCCGCGCTCCCGCGCCGACCGCTTCCTCGTCCTCTCCTCGCTCTCCGCGGCGCACCTCGACTCCGCCGTGGGCGGCAGCAACGACGACACCAGCGGCGGAGTCAGCGCCATCCGCCTCCGCGTGTTCTTCGGCGGGCCGTACCTGCTCCGCCTCGCCGCGGACGCCGGGGACGCCGCGGCCGTGCACCTCATCCTGCGCCGGCAGCCGCACCTGCTGCCGTTCCTGGAGCAGCACCAGGCCGCCGCGCCCGACGCCGAGCAGCAGTGGGCGCCGCCGCCGCTGCCGCTGCACGCGGCGGCCGCGAGGGGGGACTGCGGCGAGGTGAGGCGGCTGGGGCCCGACGCGCTGGCCGCGCGTGACCGCGAAGGGAGGACGGTTCTGCACGCGGCGGCCGCGGCCGGCGAGGCCGAGGCGGTGGCCGTGCTGGTGGACATGGGCGCCGACACGTCGGCGGTCGACGCGCGCGGGAGGACTCCGCTGGACGTGGCGCGCGAGAAGGGATACGTAAGCGATCCACTTCGAATCTACCTGCTTGTCCTTCTTACTGTCCTGTACCAATAACACTCGCGCATCGACTTCGGATGCTGTTTCTTTAACCGGACACAGATTCATTCGCCATGTGCAAACAACCCTTACGGTAAACCGCATATACTAATCTGTCACTAACGAACAGAACACGAGAAAGAGACACAAGGAATCACGCCATCGTCCAGCTTCAGGCTGCACGCAACTTTTGGCTTATGCGAGCCGCGTAGTTGTGCTCGTGAAGCATGACAGGAACGGGTCGAGTAGGACGAGCGATAGTATTAGCTAATGCAAGGTCATTCTTGTCCATTAGTGTAACGGCGGTGTTTGTTTTGCTGGGTGCAGCAAGTGGTGGACGTCCTGGAACGGTGGGAGCTGGTGATGACGGCGGCGAGGCGAGGCGACCTCGGGAGCCTCGAGTCCCTGCTCAGCAAGCGCGCGGGCATCCGCGGGCGCGACCAGTACGGCCTCACGGCGCTCCACCTGGCGGCGATCAAGGGCCACTGCGACGCGATCGCCCTGCTCGCCGGATCGGGCTGCATGGACGTCGAGTGCGAGGACGTGGAAGGCCACAGGCCGCTGCATCTCGCCGTCGAGGGCGGCCACGCCGAGGCCGTGGAGCTGCTGCTCGACATAGGCGCCGACGTCAACGCCAGGACCAGGCGCGGCGCCACGCCGCTCGAGATGGCGGAGGCCATGGGGTACGAGGCCATCGCTCAGCTTCTGTGCGCTAGAGGCGCAGAGGTGGCCGCGGCACCGGCGTTGTGCGTCGCGTCGTCGTCTTCATCGTCTATATCGTGCGCCTGATTTGATTTGCTGGTTTCAGAGTTGGGAGACTGTTGGAAGGACACGAAACTGCACTGTACTGTATAGTCTAAAAATAGTCGTTTGTTCTGCTTTCTTGGGAGAGAGTAGCTCATTATTTAAGGGGACGGTCGATTGACTGCCTTTGCTATACGCAGTGTGCTGGTGAAAAAATATCATGCAATTGCAGCGTGCCTTACATGTTGATGTTATGGTGTGTGTATTACTATGCAGGAAAACATCTACTGTTCCTCACTCATCATATTATTCAGCTTAGAAAATAAACAAAAGTAGCATTTGGCGTAACCTGGAACAGCAAACTAAACAGTAGTACACGGATTAATCAGTTCTTCATACGAATACAATTCCAGTTTCAAGGTCCGCCAATATTTTGCTCACTATAAGAGGGAGCCGAAGTAAGTTTTGCTCCATCTCACAGTTTGCAGCCAACTTGTACGCTCTCGCTATAAGAGGGAACCGAAGTACGTTTTGCTCCATATCACAGTTTGCGGTCAACTTTGTAATCATCAAATATAGCTACGGATAAAATGAAGTAAGCACTCTCGCTGTACTATGCAGAACATCAGTGACAACTGAGTTATATTTTGTTAGACTATACTACTTATCAGAATGATACATGATTTAGTTCACACCTTCCCAACCAGCATTGAGATGTTTTTTCTTGGTTTTCTTTTAGGTATATCAATTCCACACGATCCGAGCACCATCGCCGTGTTCATTTGGGCTTGTTTGGCTGATAAGCCATTACTAAAATTACTGTTAGCTGATTTGGTGTGAGAGAAAAATACTATTCGTTGGCTGATAAGCCATGGCTTATAAGCCAAACACGACTAAGCGAACAGGCTGCCCATGTCCTGTAAATGATTGAATAAGGGAGCTTCTTCCTCCTGCATCAGATAAATACAGAGTCAGATGCTAAATAGATGAATAACCGGTACTATTGCTGTTTACAATCGGCAATAGAGTAAACTTTCGGATTAAATGCTTACCAGTAAAAACTAGCACCAACCCACCGGCTGAGGATAAAGACACTATGTCAACAATTCTATACAAGAACTAGAAAGAAGCAACGGCTTCAGGATTAACGCAAGAAGGCCTCTTTGCGTTGTAGTAGAAATGGGCAATCATTTGAACCAGCTCATCTGCAGTCCTTATCTCTGTTGAAATATGTGAAAGACAATCACGTTGTGACTTATTAGTAGAACTCTTGGCAACTGAAACTGCAAGGATAGCAAAAGGTGGCAATTTATTAATCACCACCTTACTTTAAACAGTATTGGAATTTTATAATGCCAAAGTTATTGAAATTTTCCTTGTGAAAATTTAGTAAAGTTTCCTGTTTTTGAGGACTTTTCATGGAAAATAAATTGGGAACAAAATAGAGAAATAAATGAAGGGGCCTCCTTGTAATCTTGACATAGGAGAGGAAGGGCCTGTTTGGCTGGTAGAAACAACAAAAAACGCTGCCAAAGGATCCACATCTAGGTGTTTCAAAACAGAAACCAGCTGAAATGTTTCACCTTTTTACATTGCAAGTACAGGATAAATTACTCCAAGAACCAGTTAGCCAAACGATTTTCCAAGAAACAAAAACCCTACCAAAGAAACATTTCACGGAGAATTTGTAACAAAAAAAATGTTTTTAAAGAAACTGGGTCCCTACCAAACGAACCTAGAGGATAGCTCTGGAGATGGCATGGAGGGAGTTAGAGAAACAAGGATTATATCCATGCCCGTCACGCCCGCTATGTGAAAAGCTCCTCTGCCTAATCAAGCACAGAAGAAAACCATCCCCATCTGAGTCCTTCGACTCTTCTCTGTATCTCAAGGTGTCTGCCAAGTAACCTTCATCCAGATGAGTGCTGCTCCAGCAGGATGCGCCAGAAGCCCAGAACAGCGTCCATCCAAGCAATAGTGTTGCAGCCCATGCAGAGCTATTGGCTTGCATCTGTTCAATGTCAAGGACTGATGTTTGGTGGATTTCAATTGGGTTGGATTGGTCCTGTGTGTTGGTTCTAAACTTCTCATCATCATTTCGATCGCTGACTGTTTTGTGCATCAGTGTGACCTTGCACAGATTGAATTGATCACTGCTCCTCTTAAGGTGTATGCATTAGGCTGGTCGTTGTGTATCCACGGTGGTGTTGTGCTACATCGCCTAGGTATCAACCTTGTCAGACGGCCTGCCAGGCTGCCACAGAGCAGAAGAGTGGTGTTGTATCTCCAGGATAAAATACTGGGATCCTCCAGCTACAATGGGGGTGTAATTGTTCTCTGGGATAGTGATTATTGACTTATCGTGTTTCACCATTCGCTGACTTTGACTGAGACTAGACTCCATCCTTTTGCTTATCAACGATGTTGCACTGTGAACTAGTGTACACCAACTAGTACATAATGCATATTATTGGTAAATCAGAACAGTAGCAGTGATTAAATAAGGCAGAATGGTGATTAGCCTGACAGTGCAAAGGCACAAAAAGTTGTCGAGTGGTCAAGTGAGATAACTTGCTGTCTCAACAAATACATCCCCATGGATGCAGTAAGTTCCCAACATCTGTTCCCGGAGATAGGACACCATTTTCCTACAATCTGTAACAAGACATCTGACAAGGTTGAGGACCGGGAGATAGGACGCACGTGCTGGCCAAGTCCACACATCTCAGAGAAGAGCAATCAGAACTGGTCACACCAACAAAGAAAGCATATCACAAGCCAACTGGATTGGAATCAATGCAAATCAATCCAACCAAATCAAATTCACTAACATTTGTCCACAACACTGTACTGGTAGAGCAACTAATCAGGACACACAAGTAGTGCCGCTAGAGAGTGAATATGTTGAGAGGTGCTCCCCTAAAATGGCGCAGAAAGCCAAGCATGAGTTTCATGCAACTTTCTTCATAGAAGTCTTTTGCATAGCAGCATGGATCATTTGGATTGGAAGAAAAGAAGCTCTCATTTTTCAGCGAACTCCTTACTTTCAAGGCTGCAAGACAGGATTTCTCGGGTCTGTTTGGTGCATGACCTGGCAGGCAGCTTGCCTGCCAGGAAGCAATCCTAGCCGCCAGGTGACCAAATCCGACGGCCTAGGATTGTTGCCTGGCAGGCAAACCTGCCTGGGCTCAGAAGCCAAAACCAAACACGCCCAAAGTTTCACTGCAGTTACACAGGATTGAAGGGCCTTTAGAATTGCCCTTTTGTTCTTGAATTTCCTCTCTTTTTGTAGGTTGTAGTTGTTTCAGCCCTATGCTTCCTGTATAGATACTTTTCTTTTCTTCAATTGTGTAACAGTTTTTCACCTCTATTTATATATTTATATGTTTTTTTACAACAGTAGGAATTTCCTCTAATATTTTTCCTTTTAAACAAAAAGGTGCTCCCTTGATCAGCACTGCAGGGTGATGTTGCTAGTGCAGTGATGCTGGGGCTGGAACAGAACTGGATGGACCTTTCAGCATGGAGACAAGACCTTCAGAGATAGAAGAAAATGGAGGAGGAGCTCCAATGGGAACCCTGTTCAGGAGCTCACCCTTATGGGCCACATGGGCGCATAAATTGGGCTGGAAATGCATCCTTCGCTCCATTGTGGAGAGGATCAAGTCATACATCTCCTTTTCTCTCCAAACTTCTAACTGGAGTTTTCTCTTCCTCTCAAATGTCACAATGATAAGTAGGTCTCACCTCTACTTCTCTATTTTGTTTCCCAATTAATTTCCCGTAAGAAGAAAGGTAACCCTCAGTAAAATTTTACCGAATTCTCACAAGGACAATTCGAACTATTAACAAATATAAGGGGTGGATAGGTTAGGGTGTTAGTTTGACATACCTTTTTCTCTGTATAAGATCTTGTTTCCCCTAAGGAACAATAACTGCGGACATTCTCTTACTTGAAGTGCGTATGCCAAATCTCTCTCAATATTTATATCAACTTTGACTGTCTGTTAAACAAATCAAAACTTAGGACCAGCACAAAGACCAGAGTAACCCAGCCAAATAATCAAAAGATGCTATTCAAACTTACCCGAGGAGGTAAGCGATCTTTAGCATTCCAGTATACCTTAGCAGCCTTTTCCAATTCTTGAAGAAACTTCCAATTGTCAGCAGCCCTGCAAACCACAACATCATGCAGGGTTCAATACTAAACAATCAAACCCTCCTGCAAATAAACTAATAAATTTCACCCCAAGCATCGTAAGGAATTCCAGAAAGTGAAACCCGTTTTGCCGTTTATTTGTCAGTACCAGGACAGTTCTGAATTTTCTAGGCTCGTTTGATTGCACTTTACAGACATCCGCATTTACAAATGCAAAGCTTAAATGGTGATTGAATTACACACAGCCTGCTCCAAGCATAATGCCAACAGTTTACGAATCAAATTAGACAGGGATGGATGATTTTTACCTGTTGTAGCGCTCGAAGACTAGGACGACTAAGGGGCTGGGGTGGAATGCGAAGCTCTCCCACTCCAAGCAATTGATTTCCTTGACCCACCCCTCGTCGACCTCCCCTTCCCAATCGATCTCCACCCCGTCCACCGTGACATTTCTGATCGAGTGCTTGTCGAAGTACTCTGACGCCCGGATCCCCCACCCGACATCGGCATCCAGCGGCCAGCTCGGGTCCTCCTCTTCCACCACAGGCTTCTGTTCTCCCTCTCCCTCCTCCTCCTCGTCTGGTACTTGCTCCTCCTCGGCTTTCGGCTTCAGGATGTCGCCTTTGCCCTCGAGGACGTCGGGGTTGCGCTCCCGGATGGAGGCGAAGACCTGCTAGAGGCGGCCGCAGACGAAGTCCTCCACGGCTGCCGCCTCACCACGGCGCCCACGGCGCGGCTTCCGGGGTTTGGTCGTGGGGAACCCCACCTCGGTGGAGTCATCCGGGTTCCGGATGCGGGCCTCATGTGTGGGCTTCGGTGGTTCCGGGTTCGACGTCGGCTTCGGAGGCCGTGAAGCCGAAGAAGACGGCGGAGGAGCGGATGAGGCGAAGATGAGCTTGCGGCGGCGGCCATGGCTGCAGCCGACAGGGTTCGAGCTGACGGTGGGGGTTGAGGGTTTAAGGGCGGTGAGGGTGGGGAGACGAAGCATCATCGTGCGCGGCGAGAACGGGCGCGAGTATGCGGCTGGGTTTCGCCGGCCGGCAGGTGCGCTCGTGCTATCCGAATGACGGTTTCTCCTCCGCCGTTGGTCTCGTGATCTTCTCAAATCCAACGGTACTGGCGCATGTAGCCTCGTGCACCTGCACGCAGCACGCATGACGAATGTGAGGAACCGCCAAAATTAGAGCAAATGGAGTTTTTCATATTGATAAAAAAATATTTTAGTGAAAAAATATGCCTCAGTAGTTTTTTTTCCAACTAGATCTTTAAATATTATATCGTCCTGTATTCTAGATTTCTCATCCTCTAAAATAGAGAACTGAGTTTTCTACTTATCTATATTCTAAATAAGATATAGAGAAGTTGAGTTATAGGATGGTGATGCAGCGATTTTTATTACGATGGCTCTCTCAATAAAAGATTTAGATAACGATTTTTAAAAAAAAAAACTATTTTGGAGATGCTATTGAGAGGATTAATTGTGACAGTAATTAACACATCATAAGAATGTCTCACAAGCAAAAAAAAATTACAGAAAGCTGCAGGCCATATATATAACGGCTCATAGGATCTTTTTTTGAGGGAAACCGGAGCTTCCTATATTAGCCATGCTCATAGGATATTGCAGTAGAGATTCAAGTGCACATCATAAGCTTTTTGAGTTCACGCAACACAAGATTTAATTATGGCTCACGCATACACATCGCCACATAGCAAAATCTATATGTCTATATGACGAAATCAGGACCAAGCTCCGGCCAGGGATTGGGCCACGTCGCCTCCAATTTCTCGGCTGTCAGATCATGATCGGACCATCCAACTGCAGGCAAATGAGCTTGCACTTTTCTAGAGCCTTCTTCCCCCAGGCCCGGCTTGACGAAACGCTGACTCCCGTCCTCGCGCCGCACATGAACCGTCCGTCGTAGAGCCACCACCTCCTGCACGGTCTGCACCGCCGCCGGTACTTCCGTCCGCCTGCCTTACCCTCCTCTTCAGTCTTCCCTGCTGTCCCCCCGCGCCTACTCCGCCGCTGGCCTGGCGCGTGCGGGCTCCATCGCCGCCGGCCAGGCGCACAACAGAGAGTCCACAAAGACACGGAGAAGGCGTGGACTAGGTGTGCGTGGCCATCGGCAGGGGCGGATCTGGGCCCTCACGGAGGTGTTGCCACCTCGCCTGGCTCGGGGACGACGCTTCTCAGTGCCGCAGCTATATGTCGCGGTGGTGTCCGCGGCGCGTCCAAGGAACCAAGGTAGAGCCATAGAGGACGTGCCCCCTGTGTGCGGTGTGCGACGGAGCTTTGACGAGGGAGTACCTGGCCACCTACATCGGCGTTAAGGTTCTCCGGCAGCACCCACCACCATCTTGGACTACGGACTGGACGTTAACACGATAGGGCCCACGTGGTATTCGACGAAATGCCCATGAGGTAAACCGCACATCCTTGTCTCCAATTCTCCATGTGTATGCCATAAATAAATGCTTGTCTGGACTGTGCCTGTGATCTTGTTTGCATTACTTCTAGCCAAACCTCTTTGATAGTCACTGTGATGATGCATGGTGCGTCTGTCAAGAATGGTTAATCTGGGAATGTCAACAAACTAATCCTGCTGCTTCTTACCTATTTGCTTTTATAATCAGTTCAGGTAGCAGTGATTACAACTAGCATGGGAGAGTAATCAAATATGTGATAGTCTAAAAAAATCAGTAAATAAGAAATTGTTGATAGGTAGTCTAGCTTCACATATTTAATACAGAGAGCTAGTATGGGGTGACATAAGCAAGTGCGAGATGATGGAGCTTTCATGGTTGCTAGCCCTTTTGGCCTTGTTTGTAAAGATGAGAATTCAACCAACCCTAAAGAATGATTGGCATGATAAAGGAGCATGGGGCTCAGCTACAATTAAACTCATCTTTTACAACACATGAATCATAACTTGCAATTTTTACATGCCGAGGTGACAGAAGGGTCAATAACATAGCTATAAGTTTTCTTTAATTGAATACCTCTGGAAATACTTGAATATGAATGAAAACAAGCTGATATTTTTCATAATTTGTTTTGTTTAGTGATTCTTTCATTTGAATGTTGCTCTGAGTGGTTATCTCCCTAAGGTGGATTATCTTTTTTCCTTAGTATCTACTTTTGGACTCATACAATAAATAGTTATACTTGCACTTCTCCATGACCACGAGGGTATTCAGAATTAAATGCTGACACATCTTCTCACATTATGCAACTGCAGGTGAACTCTCATCTTACAACCATGGCCAATTTTCAACAGTTGATTGTAACCTATTGCCTTCAGATAACATAGTCTGAAGCAAATGCATGCTTATGTACATCGTGTTGACAACTAGCAGAGTTTATCAAATTTTCAAAGTTAAAGAAATACCTTATGCTTTATTGGGTGCTTTCTCTGTAAGATATATGTTTATGTTTAGTGTAATATTATTTCCCTGTTTGCCTCTTCAACAGACATGTTAGTAAAGACTTTATTCCAATTTGAATAAGGGTTCAGTTAATGCATATGCTAGAAAAGGCGGTGAGCATGATAGAAAAATCAGTGAGGGGATGCTAGAAAAAGCAATAAGCAGAACGAGTTTGAGGCTGACGGTAAATATTAATCATTTTTCATAGATCATGCTTACATTATTATATATAGAGAAATCATCGTGTAAATAACATCCATGTACAGTCACGTACTCCTATGTGCTTTCTATATCAAGCGTCAAGGAACTGCACTCCATGCACTATATCTATATGATGATATCAACACTGTACGCATGATGTATATTCAAGTATCTTAGGATGGTAATTTGTAACATCTTAGTTCTAAGTTTTCCTACAGACTTTCACATACAAATAGTGATGTATGTAAAGGTTGTACCCCCAAAAAAACATTGATCTTGTCGATACAATTAGGAAAATACAAATGGGCTTAAGGCTGATAAAATGTCAACAGCCTAATTCAAGTGTGATATATAATACAAAATATAAAGGGCTGGTGTGCTTTGTTCGCTTCTCTTATAATCCGTACTTTTCAGCTTGTTTTTTCAGCCGAAACAGTGTTTTTCTCCCACAACAAATCAGCGGGAATAGTGTTTCGGCTTTTTTTTCAGCGAAGCGAACGGGGCCATAAAAGGCGTGGTAAAGCCGTGCCGGTGTTTCTAGTACATAGACTGTTTATGTCTAAGATACATCCATCATAAAGAGCCACAGGCCATCACTCATCACATACCATGGTCCTCGGGATAGAACAGATGAGCTAGGGCTCACTTGCAAAACAACTCATCAACAGTACCATGAATAAAAGTACTTCGCAACTCATTGTTCTCTATTATTAGCAATGATAATCTGCACAAAATTCTAGATTAGCTATTCATCAAATGCTAAGTGCACAATTTCGAAAGGGACAAGGCCTACAACCTATGGCCTAATGACTAACCTTTTTTTTAAAACATGGCAGGAGCTCTACCTCTCAAAAAAGAAAAGAAGTCCGGCTGGCCCCACCAAGCACACAGAAAAATAGGAAACACCTAGCTCCTACCCCACTTGGGGGGTTACACAGTGGAGGCTAAGTAGGGTTGTTAAGCACCCTAATGTGCATATTAATGTCTTCCTTGGCTTTCAAGGCCACTTGTCGAGCATCCATGGCCGCAACTTGGAAAATCCTTTTATTTATTTCTTTCCAAATATTCCACATCGTGTAAATCACCACCCCGTTGAAGTGTCGTCGTCGCTCCTTTGGGACTTTGGTTGCCGCTTGTTCCCACCATGTTCTTATCTCTGTTGGTTGGGTCTAATGTCGGATTAAATCCGTGTCAAAGTGCTCCCATGCCAACACAAGACACCAAACCTCTTTAGCTACAGGGCATAGCAAGCACAGGTGAAGGCCACTTTCCAATGGCCCATTGCACATGACACAGTGATCTTGATGAGGCCAATTCCTTAGTTGCAAATTATTCGCCGTGAGGATTTTGTTCTGGATAAGGATCTATGCAAAGAACTTGCATTTATTTTCTGTGTGAGCTTTCCAAATGAGGTTTGGACGGAATTTTCTGAAGCTCCCTTAGAACTGAATTTGGTATGCCAAGCGAGTTGAGTATTTTCCATCAGGCGTCCATTTCCAAACAATGGAGTCTTGCTCTTCCAGCTGCAGCTGAACATTCTGTAATCTGATCCAGAGGGATACGAATTCTTCCACATGGGTGGCCGTTGTGATCCTACCCCGAAGTGCCTGAATCCAGGAATGGTTGTAGAGTTCTTGCTGCACAGATTTGTTCTTCCTTCTTGCCAACTCAAAGAGATGCGGCGCTAGGTTCTTGGGAGCTTCTCCATCTACCCAGCTGTGATGCCAGAATTTTGTTTCATGCCATCCCCAACCATGACAATGGTTGACGCATTGAAGAGTAGTCTGTCAACCGGTTTGCAAGGGAGTTTGGATCCAACCCACGGCCTAGAGGGGCCGTCCACTCCTGCCATAGCCATTGCAGTTGCGGTGCTCTCCCGAATTTGTCCAACTCAGGCACCCCCAGGCCTCCAAGGGCTTTTGGCTTGGAAACTAACGGCCAGTTGATAAGGCAGTGACCTCCATTTGCATTCTCCTCTCCCTTCCATAGAAAGGACCTGCGAATTTTGTCAATTTGCTTCTTGGCCCAAGCGGCGAGCAGGAAGATAGTGAGGTGGTACGTATGCATGGAAGAGAGTACTAAAGTAACCAACGTTAGCCACCCTGCTTTGTTTAGAAGCTTGCCCTTCCAACCTAGCAATCTTTGGCCAATGCGTTCTACAAGAGGCTGGACGTGCACTTTCTGTAGAGGCCTCACATGTAGCTACAACCCAAGGTAACGGCAAGGAAAGGTTCCTCTGCCCTAGAGAAAGCCAAGAGAACCTGATCGAGGTCGATGTCCTCACATCTGATCGGATGGATTGAGCTTTTGTCCATGTTAATGTTGAGACCCGATGCCTTGCCAAAGGCTTCAAGGATAATT